GAATTACAGGAGTCCACATCTTCACGATTTGAATAACAGGCCTGAAAGTGCGAGGCAAACGCATCAGCAATATCATTAGAATTAATGAGGGGTTGAGTATTGTACTGCATTTATTGGGCTGGGCAGACCAGAAATACCTGTTAGGCTCTTCACGTATGACCAAAAATGTTTAATGTTTTCGAGAATAAGATGTTCCGCTTTAGAAATAAACGTTAAATAACACAATGCAGTCCGGAACCTGACTTCTCGCCTTATGTTTGAAAAGGCCTCAAAATCACTTTGCAAGCAAGATCTCTCAAATTTTTTGTGCAATCTGTTTTTTTGGCAATAAGTTTACGAAAATCTCTGTCAAACCAGCAGCTATACTTCTGACCTATAACAGTCCTTTTCGGGACATCCACGCTGACAATTTAGTTCACCATAATTACGGTCCCTCCGAAAGAAACTGAAACGCGGATCAAAAATTTCAGAGTTCAAAATGCCATGATTGAGCCAGGTTTCCGACAAAAATACGATATCATACTCTAATGAGTGAGTGTTCGTCAAGAGCTCACTTGATTTCGTTTCAAGACCTCTTACATTCTGAAAATAGACGGCTAATTATCTGCAGTCGACGTAATTCAAAAATTTGGACTATTACTACCACCACTCCCAATACATTCATTATTAGGAAGGACCAAGGAGTCATCGGAATTGATTGGAGCCACAGATAACTTGGAGATTATGCGTTCTAGGAGCTTCTTCTTGGCAATGTGGGAAGGGCTGCCATAGTAGTTCAGCTCGCTCTCATCGGAAAATTCATCAAAGATGAGAAACCTTGCAGGAAAGCCCTTCTTGTTATGCGGGACCTTCTTGAAGACTATGTCAGATTCGTATGTAAAGTTGTTGAGAATAGGCCTGGAGGCAGCATAGGGAGATCCAACGATGATTAGGTTAGTGTGAGAATTTCATACATCTGTCAAAACTGATATTCTAACAATAAACTTACATGTTTTAATTGTTGATTTGAACCAATCAGATTGGAATTACGCGATAATTTGCACTCATGCGTTTATAACTGAAAAGGGCACTCGTGCACTACGTGCACTCGTGTTCTTTTTCAACTAAAAATGCTTTCGTGCGATTTTCCCAAAAATTATCGATAATTTCCATTGCACTCGTTATATTACTATTGAGAAAATCTATCAAGTATATGGGCAACTAAGTTGTAGCTGATAGTTTTACCCATAAAAGCATCAGCATTACCGCAGAAGAGGATGACATAATCGCGTTTGGTGAAACGACGATTTAGATAAAAGTACTATGTCCTCTCCATATCTTGCTATATCCTCGCCATATGCTTGACATTTTATCTTCCTTTTGACATCTATATCCTTAATTTTTTCCTCCAGGCTTTTTATGGTGGCTTCCAAATCTGTATTTATGTGTATTTTTTCGGTTTGCAGCAAAAGTTCCATATTTTTATTTTCAAGCACAATTATCTGGTTTTTGAGTTCTGTCAGTTCCCGCATATAGCCACCTTCATTTTCTCATAGAGTTCCGATAGATTTTTCTCCAAGTTATCATTTGAAGCCTTGAATTGTTCATTCAGCTTTATTTATTTTCACTGTTTCAGAAGAAACATTGGCAATTCTTATCATAATGTCTCCATTTGTTCTTACTAGAGTCTTTCCAACGAGAAATTTTTCTGGTTTACCTCCAATAAAATTATGTGTTAGTCCAACGCAGCACCCAGGGTTTGTTTCCAATTTCCCGCAAATGATCTTCTCAGTATTTCCAGGAATCCTCACTGGGTTTGTCACCAGGATCTTAACGGCTTGGGATTCTTCTTGTGGAGCTAGGACAAATTCTTCATTACCAAATTCAAGGATGTTCATTGAAGGATCGAAAGAGAAACCATATTGGCCGACCAAAGTCCAAAATAAAATCATCTTCTATATCGGCGACTTATGGTCTGTGTCTAAAGGTGGTAGATCCAAAAGGAAGCTCAACCATAGCTTCTCCTTGAACTGGTGCTGATTCGCCCGTGACTGTTCGTAGTGACAGGTTTCTAGTGAGCGCTTGGATTGCCCGAGACTTGACTAATGCTTTTCTAATTATAGAAACCTCAGCACCCGTATCAAAAGTGATGGTTTTACATTCTCCATTAATTTGTTCTTCGAATTTGAATCCTGCATAATGACTGCCCAATGATTTTATGTAAACGACCTTGGAGGCTTCGTCATTGCTAACCAGCCTTCGCCCCTCCGTACTGGTTGGTTCCTGTCTGCTATTAGGGCTGGTGTCTCTAGATCTTGAAAAGCGTTGGGAACGATCCCTAGATGGAGAGGATATCCTTACTCTACAATCCCATTGCATATGTCCAAGCTTATGGAACCGGTAACATTCTACTCGGTTTCTCGGAGTCGGTATTTGTCTGGTCTGTTTTTCTACCTTCTAGTAATAGTTTCTCCATTCTTTCCAGTTTCTCCATGAAATTACTCATAACATTCTATAAGCTATCATCCTCTTTTGACAATTGTTTATCCCTTGGGTCTTCAATGGACACTGCTCGTATTCTGGGTCGAGAGGCACCAAAGATTGCTTCCAGTTCCAAGGCTCGGACAAGGGCTTCGCTACTTTGTCTGAACTTAGATATTCTCAGGTTTTCCTGGATCTTCGAATCTCTGAGACCATCAATGAACGCAGATACTGCCTTCCGTTCCTGCATGTCTTCCCAAGCTGCAGGAAACGCCAAACTCACTAGCATTTTAACTTCCGATTCGAATTCTTGTAAACTCTCGCCTGGTTTTTGAATTCTTGATTTAACTTGAGTTCTAAATACTTCTTGTCTGTAATGGTCTCCGAAGCGCAATTCTAACGCCTGACTTAGATACTGGTAATTCTGTTAGTGAGATTGAAGGAATGGACTGAAGAAGATCTAAGGCTGAGAACCTCGTAGTGCCACTATCACTGCTGTTGCTTTTTCTTGATCCTTCCATCCGTTAGTATTTGCAGCAGCTTCAAATTGTCGGATATTCATGGTCCAGGACGTAGAACCGTCAAAAGTTGGTGGTTTTATCTTCATGCTAGGACTGAACATTAACTGGATTAATGGACGTGTGCTTGAACTTGACCTCAGCTTTCACTTCCTGAACGTCGTTTTTAACTTTGGCTTTTACTTCCGTAATCTTTTGTTCTAGGTTAGCGACAAATCCGAAATATTTTCTGTAGTTATCCAAGGTCTTCTTGCCGTTCTTTTTGTCCCTGGCCTCTTCGTCTTGTTTTTTTTTTGTTGTCGTTTAGCTTCTTCTTCTTGTTTTTCTTTTTCTCATCTGGCCTCTTCGTCTTGTTTTTCTTGTAGTCGTTTAGCTTCTTCTTCTTGTTTCTCTTTTTGACGCCTGGCCTCTTCGTCTTGTTTTTCTTGTTGTCGTTTAGCTTCTTCTTCTTGTTTTTCTTTTTGTCGTTAAGCCTCTTCTTGTTGTCGTCTAGCTTCTTTTTCTTGTTTTCCTTTTTGTCGTTTAGCTTCTTCTTCTTGCTTTTCTCTTTGTCGTCTGGCCTCTTCGTTTTATTTTTCCTGTTGTCAATAAGCTTCTTCGTCTTGTTTTTCTTTTTGTCGTTTAGCTTCTTCTTGTTTTTCTTTTTGTCGTCTTGCCTCTTCGTCTTGTTTTTCTTGTTGCCTTTTGGTCTCTTGAAGTTCCCACATTTTGCGCAAAAGTTCTTCAACTTTTTGTTTTTCCATTTTTGCTTGTTGTCTCGTAATAGGCATACATAGAATATTCTGGAATTTCCCTCAAACTCTCTTCAACTATATAATTTTTGATTGAAGTTCCAAACACGTCGGTGAAGTCACAAATTGGATAACTTGCTCTATTCTCGAATAGAATGTTCTAGAATTTTCTTGAAATGTCTTTTCTGGATGTCGATTGATATAGCAAACACGTCGGTGAAGTCACAAATTCGATATCTCCCTTGGTTTCCAAATAGATTTTTTTCTAGAATTTACTTGAAAATTCACTATCACAGTCAAAATCGGCTATGCAGTTATTTCCGGGGTAATTTACACAATCGGTTAAGTCTCTTTTGGTGATTGTCGCTGCTTACACTGACTAACTGTTCCAGTGTTCACTATAGTGTCCACACTAGTGTCTGCGAACTATTCTGCAATCGGATTTCACTTTGCAGTCCTCGAATTATCCACTTCCGACACCAATGTAACGGCTCTGGCTTGCTTACTTCACTAATTAACTCAAACAATTTAACTCTTTACAGCCCTGACAAAATTCATTAACTTAATCATTTCACAGCCAATCCTAAACTTAAACTACTAACTAAACCGACCTTTATATATCCGTAATCTATTTTTGCAAAATCCAGAATAAACGCGATAGACCTTTTTTCCGAAGAGCAACGTAAAATCTAGAATCAGTTGTCCAATTCTGTACACCGTTGCGGAAGCGCCACTTTCTGTGACAATATTTAGTTCTGATTAACCAAAATAATTAATATCAGAAACTCAGTTTTATTGATGCCTTTTGAAACACCATTTTCAGACAAGTTGAACGGTTCCTCCCGAAACTCGTTTCGATGAGAAGAGTTTCAACTGCAGCACATTCAAATTCGGTCATCGGGTTTTCAAGTATTATTGTTGATTTCGTACTTTCAGAAAACCAGGAAGGGTGGTTTTGAGTCTTGTTTCCAATTTAGAATTTGTGAAGCAGGCTTGTTTCCTATTGATAAAGAATATAAAATTAATTTTCCTCCCGACAAAAAGAAATTTCCACATCTTCTTACACACATATAAAGTTTATTTTAATTTTAGAGCCATTTACATAAAAATGTCCTTTTTAGCGTAATACTTGGAAAGTAATGTTTAACAATGTGTGGCTTTTAAAGCTTGTAAAAGCTTTAGAATGGGAAATATCACTTTCTACAGGCGCATTTACGTTGAGCTTATTTGTATTGCAGAAAACATTCAGGTGTTAAACATGTATCAAATAAAACAAATTGATTTATTTAAATTACATATCACAAATGCATTTTGGCACAATATGATTTTCATATGAGTTATCCCATGTAATAGGATCTTTTTGCAATTGTATAATCCTAGGATGATGAGAAGGCATAGGAGGGTAAATCAAATCTTTTGCATTACCGCAATTGATTTTCAAAGGTTGTAATCTAGGCCATTTGAGCGACTTGTAAGCTTCAGGGTCGTATTTTTTATAATCAGCTTTAGTAACGGAATACAATGGCCTTCTAGGGTCTAAAAGATCGTAATCCCATATTTCTTTTTTATAGTTGACGAGGCCATTTCTTGTTGAGAGATTTCCAAAGTCGTTCAGGTACTCGTTTGTGGGTTCAAAGCTCAACAAACGAAATCTGAAATAAATTTTATGCTTCAATTTAATACAGCGGTTCACGTTAAGAACTTATTGAAAAACCTAATTTCTTGCCGATTTTATATATTTATATATTTTTTTTTTTTGTTTTAGGTAGCTATTCAAAATGCGCCTTCAAAGAGTGGCTAACTAAAGTTGGGCAGTAAGGATGGTAATTTTTTACTTCTTCTTTTTCTCTAGCCTACTATCATCCATTTTTGGATCTAGGCCTCTCCCAATTCTCGGCAACGAACTCTATTTTGAGCCGTTTGTCTGCGATGAAATCCAGCGGTTAATTTCAGATCATTGATTCATCCAAGCCTTTATCTATGCCCAGAATACTGTAGTTCTGAAGTTATCCTGGTAGTGTTCTGCGAAAATTCATTTTAGATGGATTTCTTTTGATGCTACGAGCTTCAACGTGCTTCTCGGTCTTGTCCAAGCGTTTCTATTTCTGTCGAGGAGCCTAATATTCAGCATTATCCGCCCCATTGCCCTTTGAGTCTAAGATAGTTTGAGGTTATTCTTAGTACATGTCAGACCCTGACCAGTCTGATCAACCCGCTCGTTGAAGGCTTATTTTGAATACCGTAAAAAAAATTCTCACTGAAAATGATTCTCTAAAGTATGCGGCGTGTGACGTCATGTGGCAAATGTAGCATGCCCTTTTTCATGAATGGGGCTCCCATACTAGGATAACGGAAACATTTTCAATATTAAAAAATTACAATAAAATCGGTCAAGAAATAAAGTTAAACGTGTACAGACTATAGATGCTGGTCAAGAATTTCTCAATATAATAATTATTACCTCATTTTTCTGTGCATGGACTCTTTATAACAGCTGGGAAAATACTTAAAAGATAAATCATAAGTACTTGAAAAATTTCCGTTAGTTCTTTCAATGTCATCTGTGATTTTTTGTGAAGCTACATTTTCTCCAATTTCAGATTTAATTTTGATAGTATTATAAGTAAAGTCATTTTCATTTTTGTCTAGGGCATACTTTGGAATAAAATCTTGGCTGTAAGTGGATGCATGTTTGAAAGGGGTTCTCTTGTAGCTGCCAATTTTTTCCTCGACCCAGTTCCCTACCAGTACGCTATTCTGATAATATGTTTGTTTATCGTAACAAAGACGATCTTTCGGTTTCATGATTTTGATTATAAAAAGTTATGTAAAGAAAAATGACTTGACACTAGCTAATGATAATTGTCATTTTTTTTTCTGGTTCAGAATTTTTTGAGCATGTCCAAAAATTACAATTACAATTTTTCTTTTATTTTATTTCAGAGGAGAACCCGGCTGCGATGCTGCACAATGGAAGCAAACCTTTGCAACTAAACTTCTGTTATATATTGTTTTCATTTTTGGCAACTTTACTAATTATCCATAGATAAAGATACAAATTGTAAATATACAGGTTGTAAATTATTGTAAATTGAGAAAATCCTTTCAGGTCGTTTATTGTAAATGAGATGTTAAAAACAGTGCATATCATAATCAAATTTTCATACTACATCTCTTATATTCTATTGAAGGGTTTACTAATTTGAAATATTTACATTGTAGTTAGTGCGGGCGGCGACGACAATTCAAAAATTCTAAAAAAAAATTAGTAGGTACTTTCGAGAAATTATAATTTTTGTTCTTAGAGCCGACAAACTGTATTTTCCTGACCCGTAAAAATCCTGACAGTATCTTATCCTGACCCGCATAAAAATCCTGATTGTTTGTTCGGCAGCGTGAAATTCACCAAGGTCTATGGCCCATGACGGCGGATAAGTAGTTGCAGTAGGTATACGAAGACTTGATAAAATATCTACAAGTAAACAGTAGGATACAAATATACCATATTTGGAGGCATCTTAAACGCACGTCTGGATCAGGAGCGTACCTATCATAGGGCAAAGCGGTGCAGTGCACCGCCGGGGCGCATAGAGGTAAGTAACACCCATTTGGCTCCCGTTCGCAAATTTGAATGTAACACCTGATATCGCAACGGAGAGTTTCTTTATCGGATGTTACTTACCCTGGACAGATTTGCATTCACATAATGTTTAAAAGTAATGCCTTTATTAGATACATAGTATGTATAGATATAATATTATTAGTTTTCTATGTTTCAAACTTTTTGTATTTCCTTTTGGTATCATGTACACATGTAGGCCCAAGTAAGAGAAAGAATATTGAAAAAATTCGGTCCGATGTAATGGCTTTTCGAAAGTATCTATCTATGTTCCTTGTTGACCTGGTATGAATGTCACTAACCCCCACCGGAGAGATATTCTGAGTTCTAAATAATATTTTGTCTCAAAACAGCAACATGTAAAAATCTTCTTTCTTTCATCTTGAGCATTTCACTGTTAGTAATGTAAGGAGTAACATGTTCTCGTCTATTTATGTTCAATCTGTGGTTCAATATACAGGGTGGAACTTTTAAATGGAATAAAATTATTATCAGAGAGCCTGTTTATTTTCTGGAAAAATAAAAAAAAAACGGGTCCCTTTATTTTATTTTTTTTTTTACGGATATGCGCACTCGCAAGGAAATGTCCTATCACGCTCGAGAAGCGGCAAGTGCGCGGTGCAAAAGTTGGGGGTGGTTTCTACCCTTAAGAGAGGGGTAAATTCCATGGAAAGGCCGAAAAAATGTGCCAAACTAATCAAAAACAAAATTCCGGTTTTTTTGAGCCCACCCTATATATTAATAAATTCCTTGTTATTCAACAAAAAAAAAACAAATAAAAAAAGGTCATTTACAGTGTGTTATTTAAAAATGTGAAACGTGCCATTCTTTTTGGATTTCTCGTTCTTCCACAACTATACAAATAGTAAAAAAGATGTTCTCCTAAATTAAAATTAGTGTCTGAGGTTTTTCGAGAAACATTCACTGTTTTATTGTTTGTATCTGCTAAATTACGAACGCACAGTATAATTTATATTAATATAACAATATTAATTAGGTTTTGCACTTATATTATATATATAGTAAAATTTCAATGCCCTAAAATAATTATTTACAAGATGGTAATAGTAAATAGGCTTATCTAATACCGAGGGTAAGTAACACCCGATGAAGCGCACATCCATGCAACCACGGGTGTTACATTTGAAAAACCGAACCGTTGTCGAACGGATTGCCAAATGCTAAACAGGGTGTTACTTACCTCTATGCCGCCGGGGCCCCAACATCTAGAGGGCCTAAACTAACCCTCAAACCTTTTGAAAACTAATTATTTATTGAAAGAAAATAAAGTTTTTGTCGGTTACGACAACCGAAAAGCGTGGGAATTGAATGAAAAGAAAGCTAAGGGAAATTGGAGGATAAAAAATATTTAGTCCTGGGTGGGATTCGAACTCGCATCTTCAGCATTGTCGGTTTTACGCTCGAACCAACTAAGCCACCATGACCCTACACATCTTTTTGATGTTTGTGTGGTGTGGTTAGAGGAAGATGCGTGGTTCTCCGCTCATTGCCAAACTTCTCAATCCTCCAATTGACCCACATAGGGTTTCCATAAAGGTTTTTCCGAATTCAGGACAAAGGAGTCAAGAAATCCGGACAAAATCCGGACTTCGCCGAAATAGTTATTGAGAGTGTGTAAAGTGAAAGGCGAGTGCGGCAAAATTCACATTTGTAAAACAAGGTTCACTTCACACACGTATTGCATAATATACAAACAATTTTCTACTATCAATGAAATATGTGTAAAAAAATAACTTTAGACAAATACTTTACGCATACGCACTAATGCGTAATAGTTATTTACATTACAAGTGCGTTTATGAACATGATTACAATAACGAGTGTGAAAGATTAGAACGACGAGGTCGTAGACCGAGTCGTCCTAATCACACGAGTTTTGTAGTCATGTTTAAACGCACGTGTGATGTACAACGTTTTATCTGCAAAGCGAAAAATAAGAATGTTTTTTCCATTATTTCCGTTTATTAGTAGTTGTCTACCTTCATTTTATATTTACAGGTTTATCTTTGACATTTGTCAAATCACCAAAAATAGTTGTGTTATAGATTCATAACCTAGTCCATAACACCACTAGTTGTGTTATGAATTCATAACCTAGGCTATAACACAACTAGTTATGTTATGAGTCTCATGACATAACTCAAAGACCAGAAAAATGGTTATGTAAAAACGTCTTAACCAAACGCTTGTAGATAAAGTAATTTACTAGAATAGTTATTTATGCAACAAGTGTGTAAAGTGAACCTAACCCAATCACATGAGTGAAAAAAGGTGCTTTACGCACGTATTGCATACAAAATTTTTTCTACCACCAATCAAATATGTGTAAAAAAATAGATTTAGACAAATACTTTACGCACTAGTGCGTGAAATATTTTCACTTTACGCACTAGTGCGTGAAGTAATTTACCAGAAAAATATTACATTGACAGTGTTGACATCTGTCATTGACATTACTTTACGCACTAGCGTGTGAAGTGAATTACTTTATGCACTAGTGTGTGAAGTGTAATTTCACGTCTTCTGAATAGTGCGTAAAGTGAGTACTTTACGCACGGTAGTAGAAAAAAAAATTACAGTGTCGACATCTGTCATTGACCTTACTTCACGCACTAGTTAGTAGGCAATTTTTCGCGAGGATAACATTGGAGGATAATCAAGCATAATCTGATTATCCTGGGTTATGTGATGTGTCAACTGTGTCATACTCCCCTAACTCCCTCGCCCTTCAATTCTGGGCCTGCGAGTGACGTCACTACCAGCAGTTTATAGTGATGACGTCACTCGCAGACCACGATGGAATGCTTGCGATTCAGGTTGTGCTAGTGAGTTAATTTTTTCGTCGATTTCAAATGTAGAAAGTTTTCGGTCTGTTCTCACAGAAGAAGTTAAGGGCCGGATTTATAGTCGCTGCTTGAAGTTTCCTCAGGCCTTAAGAAGGCTTTGAACGTTTAGAATTGAGATGACTAACTTGTCACTACTATTTGACTATAAATTCGGCCCTAAGTGTCCTTGATCTTCGAGTATCCCAGAATTTGATGAGGGGTGAGTTAGGGGAGTATGACACAATTGACATATCATATAATCTAGCATACTCGAGTATGCTTGGTTATCCTCGCGGAAAATTTCCTACGTACTAATGCGTGAAGTAAAATTTACGTCTTTTGGATAGTGCGTAAACTGAGTATGAGTGTTTCCACGATCTCTGAGTTTCCCGGACATTGTTCCGAATTCCGGCCGGACTTCCCCGGACACCCTAAAAACCCAAACATGTCCGGGTAAATCCGGACGTATGGAAACCTAGACCCACACATTTATGGCATCCGTCCTAACTCCAATAAGCTCCTTATTACTATGTAAGTTTTATCCATGTGTGTTGAAACTTGGTGTATGCGATGCCCGCATAAGCAATGTTGGAAGAAAAAAAGTTTTTGTCGGTTAAACAACCGAAAACCCAAAATCAAAAAGATCTGTAGGGTCATGCTGGCTTAGTTGGTTAGAGTGTAGCACCGGCAATGCTGAAGATGCGGGTTCGAATCCGGCCCAGGACCAAAATTTTTAATCCTGCAACTTTCTCTTCATCCATTATTTATTATTCACGTTTTACGTTATAAAGTTAAAAGTGAGATTCAAAAGCAGAAACAATAAAAACGAAAATTAGTTCTTTTGCTTTGCGAATTTTTGCACTGTGTATTGGACGATATTAACTCTCTTCCCAAAATTCTTCAAAGCCACGATATTGATCCACCAGGCTTTGAATCAGGGTCCTTATTCTCGAAACCGGCCGGGGATCAGCGTTCTCATGAGAATGAAGGTTCTGTCTTTGTCAGTATTATGGAAACATGAATATGAGCGACGAACACAATACCTTGGTTCTCATGAGAACGCTGCTCCCCTGTTTCGAGAATAAGGACCCAGGCTAGAGGAAAGTGTAGAACCTATAGACATGACTTCGAATATTTCAATTTCAAGGCCTATGAAATTGCAAGAAAATATGTGATATGACGTCGATCCCAATTTCCAAACTAATTCAAACAAAGCGGCAAAGAAAAATTGGAAAACATTTTGATGAATTATCGTCTGACCATCGATTCGAAACTTGAGAAGAAATCTTAAAAATAAACATTTTTTAATACAGGTACTCGACGTTATTATTTCTCAGTTC